TGAGCCTGGAAGTTATTCCTTCATATCTGGCAGCAAAGCTTGACAGATTTTAATGAGCTCTTTTCTCTCATCTTGATTTTCTTTTTCCTCCAGGGCAAACAGTCTCAAGTTTCAGCAGCGTGAGTAGCTCTCCAGCTGTGACATACGGCTCTCTTGTGCATTGAATGTTTTCTAGCAGCCACTGATACTATGGCAAGCCGTGAATTTATGTTAAAACGGCTTGCCATACTGATACGTTTTTCACAGCGAGTGACCCATCATACGTCAGAAACACCCAAGCGGAGCAGCTCCGCCATTCCCGGAAGTATGCCCATATATGGAAGACGCTGCGTCTTCGATGACGCAATGACGCTATTACAGATTTGAACAAATACGCACAAAAACATCAAAATTAGCACAGAAACAGTACTATATAACATTTTAGACACATTCTAGACAGTTTATCAGCTAAAAAAGTTAATTTTGGGGTAAGTTCCTCTTTAATGTTTTTATAGGATTTTTCCTGTTTTACATCACGTTTGCCATCTGTGCTATCGATACAGATTACAATAAATGACTTTCAGTCTATTATTTCACACATAAATCCTGGAACCTAATAAAAACCCGAGGTACTGTTTATACTGTATTTTTGATGCTGTTTTTTATTTATTTATTTATTTAGTTTTCTCTGTTTTCTTTGCTCGTTACTTTGAGCTGTATCTTTCTTTAGCTGCTTCTTTTTTCTCTGACTTCTGTGGGATGGGACAGTAAAAGGATTCCCGTGTTCCTGTTTGTACTTTTTTTACTAAGTATCTTCAAAGTTCCACACTTTGGGTTCTCTTCAGTTACATTTGCTTGATCTTTTTTTTTCCTTGTGTTGCTTTCAGTGTAAGCTTAGCTATAGTTTTAGTCACTGAAGTTTTTAGCTACTGTTTGCTAATTGTAGCGTTTACATAAAGTCATTGTATATTTTTCCCCACTGTAACCTTGTAGTTATTATAACTGCTTTTTTCTAATGAATAGTGCATTTACATTATGCGTAAAATTAGGTTTGGACAGTCATGGTGCTCAGCATTAGAGATAGACCGATACAGGTTTTTGAAGGCCGATACAGATACAGATTTTTTAAACATCAGTCTAACCGCTACGCCGACACGTGCAGCCYATATTTTTTGGCCGATTCTTGAAGCCGATACTACATTTTCTTCCTCCATTAACATGATAAAAATAAGAATGATAACAAATGTTACCCAGGTCTCAATTTAAAACAAAACAAACAAAAAATTATTAACTAAGCCTTGTCTGATGCAGGCTGTATTGAGTGCTACCACATATGAATTCTTCTTTTAAAAATTAAAAATAAATAAATTCATTATTTATTTTATCTAGTGCTAAATATTCTGTTCTTATTTGTATTTTAATAAGAATAATATATGTTTTACATAAAATTACTATTTTTTAATATCCCAGCATTTTTGATGCAAAAACAGCAACAAGCCTAAATAAAACTGTCAGAGCAACACAGAGAAAGAAGAGACACACACACACATCTTGCTATCTTTGTCAGGACTTCACACACAGCACTCACAGCATCTCTGCCTCAGTCTGCTGCTCCCGTTTTTAACACCAGGCAAAYAAATGCATTTAAAACAGCTGACGTTAACTTTAGATCACAGTTTGAAATGTACACCAAAGAGAACCAGCATCAGGACTGTGGTCACAGCAAACGTGATGTGAGCAGTGTCTGGTCCACATGATCGTGGACGGCTGCGCTCGCTAAAACGTAACAGCGAGAAAAGACCAAAAGCTTTTTTATTTTAATCCAGCAGGGAGAACAATAGAGGTGTTTTTCTATGCCTCAAGTGAGCAGCTCCAGCATTTTTAAAAAGAAAAAAACGCGGACACACTGATTACTGTGCGGTGCGAAAGTGAAAGTAAAGCACGTCSCAGCGCTCCCGTCTGTAAAAGAAACTTAAACACAGCTGTTCTTTCTTCCCTCATATTCCGACACAGAGGGTAGAAACAGCTAAATTAGACAGTTAAAACACATTTATAGTTCATAACTCACCCTTGTTGTTGTTAGCACTCTGTCTCATAACGTTAAACGTTAGCTGCTGCACTCTCCCCGGGGGAAGGGGTGGACACATGCACTCGCATGACCCAAAGAACGGATCGGCCGAACGGACAGTGCATCGGCCGATACCGATACAAGGAAAAAATGCAAATATCGGCCAAAAATATCGGCCGGCCGATGTATCGGTCAACCCCTACTCAGCATGATGAGTTAGATGGGTCATGCATTTTTCTAATTTAAAACTTTTTAATTCAATTGAATTCAAATGCAAAAAAAATAAAAATAATCAACAAATTACCTCTAGAACACAAATATAATGTTGCAAGATATCATTCATAATGTAAGGGTGTATTCACAGCCCTATTTAGTCCTCTTTTTGACTAGAAAGTAGGGTTCATTTTGTGGACGTGTAATCGAACTCTGATGCAGACCAAAACAACTAAACTCTGGTCCAGCTGAAAATGTAAACAAAGGTACATTTGGTCTTCAGTTGAACAGTGTACTGGACTATCAAGTGTGAGTACACCCTTAGTATATGGCTACAATCACACTTCAGGTCTTGATGCTCAACTCAGATTATTTGGCATAAACATTCACATTATATTTTACATGCAACTGCAGTGTGAACTCTCCACAGCACTGATGAGACTTTCCTGTGCTCAAAGCTGATGTCACATTCTGCTAGCTATTTACAGAAGTAGCCTTTGGATGCTAATTGTTAGCATGTCTATTCTCCAGTGCAGCACATTATTTTTGGAACTAAGCAACATGCTAAAAGAAGCATATCAATCGAGTAACTTTAGTAACGAAATGGTCCACGATCGACATTGGACAGTACTATGATGTTAAAATTCAAATTAAAAGAAAAAGATGATGCTACTAGATTTTGAATTGTAACTGAAGACGTGGTCTTACAAGATTCAAACATGACTCCAGGTTAGTGTCTATTTCTGGCTGGTGATGGAAACTTGAGCCAAAACCCCACTCCATCATTTCAAGTTTGCAGGAGTGTGATCCAAGTGACACCTGGGGTGGTCATGCAACAAGGTCTGATTCCTTGTCAATCAGCCGTCGATGCTTATGACAACACACATCAACAGAGACCAACATCAGATCAAGCTATAGAGATTGAACAAATGGCCGAATGGTACCAGGCACTGAATCCACTTCGTGCTGCAGGACAGATGAATGTGGATTTAAACTGCCATCCTACAGGCTGGATAAGTCCAGAGGAATGGGTTAAAGGTCAAATTGCTGCGAGCTGGAATGTAAACACAAACCCTCCCTTCTACACCACCATCGGACTTGCTGGAGGAACTGTGGCCATAAATCCTAAGAACTGTCAACTTCACCCAATGAGAAAAGACCACGAAAGAAATCAAGTTGTAACTTGTTGTGACCTGAGTGTTTTCTCCTCATACAAAGAAAAGAGGAGGAGAATTAATGTATGTTTAAAATGAATATGCATAATTACAGGCGTTTATAAAAATCACAGGCACACTGGGTGGTCGATCTTTGAGTCTTGGTAAGTTCTTCTGTAATTATTCTGCTGGATTTTATATAAAAGGTACAACTCAATGCACTGGTCTGAGCTGAAATAATACAATAGTGTTAACCCCCTCTTCTCGCCTCCTGTTCTTAAGCCCAGCTGGGAGTGTGGGTGATAGCAGTGGGGAAAGAAGTCAAGAGGTCTCCTGGTCTCATGCTACGTTCACACCAAACGCGTTGCGCGCCTCCAAAAATCTCAAAACACACGCATCTTGATGCTGGACAGACGCATTCACAGACCAGAACGAGAAGCAGCAGCAGCAGCGGGAGCGGCAGCAGGGTGTGGGAGGAGCGTCTGCCCT